AGGAGGAGGTGCGAGGAAAAGTCGCTCGTTCCGGGCTGAACAAAGCTGCCTCTGGTACTTTCGACCCTTACGAGTACGACGAGCTGCAAGGGAGCTCTCCCCGTCGCCTGCTTCACGCGCAAACCGATCCGCCCCTCGACGCTGACCTTCGCAGCGCTCGTGCCCTCTTGCCTCCTTTCTCCGTTGGTATCGAGAGCAACAGGAACGCGACGGACGCGTCGTTTCTACGCACTCGTCGAAAGGAGGTCGGCGCCACGTCACCCTCGAGGCGAGTGACCTCGCGCGCCTCCCGCTCTCCCTCTCTCTCTCTCCTTCTCCTCACTCCGACTCGTCACTTCTCCTCTTTCCGCCCTCCTTCGAGTCGGAGGTGAGTCTCCCGCACCCACTGACCACCGCTACACACGCGCTAACCCACTCCGGGCCGCTCCCTCACCCGTACCACCCACCCTCCCCTCCTCACCCTCGACGCCACCCAGTCACTTCCCCTCTCTTCTGCCTCGCCTCGACCCTCGACGCCACCAGCACCCCCTCCTCGACGCCGCAAGTGAGTCCGCGCGCCTCCCGAGCCAGCCGCTGCAGCTCTAGCTGACCCTTCGCTCGCCTTCTCCGCTCGCAGCTCAACTGTCGTCAAGGACTCGGTGGACGACGCGTTGGTCCGCTTTAGGTCAAGGTTGACGTGTGAGTCTGCGGCTCTCCTTCTCCGGCGCGCCTTCGACGGTAGGAGGACGGTGCGAGGGCGACTCTGGGCGACGGCTGACCTTCCTCGCTCTCTCGCTCGCAGCCTCGTCGCCCTCGCCTTTGAGTGGCAGCTCCTGCAGCGTGTCTACAGGTGCGCTCTCGCTCTCGGCCATGCGCCCTCTCCCATCGCCGCTGACCTGTCCGCTTCTCGGCTCGCAGGCGTCGAGGGTCGAGCGGTTTCAACACCCGCTTGGTCTGTCGAGCGTCGTTCAACCGCGCCGACCCGTTCTGCTCGTCTCCGCTTTTCTAAAATCGAGGCAGTGGGTCGTCCTGTCCCGTCGCCGTCGACGACAAGAGGCTGACCTTCCCTCGTCCTCGTCGGTCGACAGCTCGCCTCACGCAAGCCGCAGGACCCAAGCTCGGCGTCGTCCCGCCCTGCACTCGCTGCTTGCGCGCCGGCGGCGTTCGAGCTCCTGCGAAGGTCTTTCCACCTCTCCGGTGCGTAGAGGGTGCCCTCCTCCTCCTCGACATTCGCCGCGCTGACTCGTTCTGATTCCGCGCGCAGGTCGTTGCGTCTCGCAGCGACAACCTCGGGGCCCGGGCGAGACCGGGAGAGAGGGGAGCGGGTGCCGAGACGATATTGTGCAGCACGGGAATTCTCCGATAGTCTTCCCTTTGTAACTGGACTCGCAGATGGCTGTAATCCAGGTTCGTTGGCAACCGAGAAGCCACTCGCTCTCACTGTGGTGCTGCATACCCACGACTACATTCTCACAGCGACGACTGCTACCCAGCCAACCCCACCACCGCCAGTCCCGCCCTCGCGCACCTCCCCGCTCCTCCCCCATCCTCATCTCATCAGCCTGAAATCCTAGACCTCCTCATCCCACAGGACGACGGAACGCGCGGATGAACCGCTTCCGCCGCAAGAGCGAATCGAAGCAGCGCAGTCGGCGGCAGTCCAAGGACGACGGCGGGAGCGCACGAGGAGGAGGAGGAGCGGCGAGTGGGGAGGAGGCGATGGTGGACGAGGTACCGAGTCTGGGAAGCGCTGGGCTGCCTGAGACGGCCGATTTCAGGACGTCGCTTATCCTGGTGCGCTCAGCGAGTCTTTCTCTCTGGTCGTTGGAGGGGAGGGGGGTTCTCGAGCCTCCCCGGAAATAGCCTCGCGATGGGAACGGACGGAGAGGAATGCGGAGCGACGGAACGGACAGGACTGACAGATTCGGGACGCATGCGCGCAGCCGAATCTGATGAAGCGCTTCTCGCTCTTGAGAGGCGAAGACGGCCAACTCGTCGACCTCGTAACGATGCAGCACCACCTCGCGTTCGTCCCGTTCCCTCCTGCCCTCCCTCACAAGCTAATGCGAACAGTTGCGCAGCGCACAAAGACAGACGGGCCGACTGACAGCTCACGAAGTGGATGCCGTCCTCGCTCAATATCGCCTCCAGACCGCCGCTGAACAATCGCCTATGCCTCCACCGACTGCCTCTTCCTCGTCGGGATACACGAAGCGCAAGCGGATTGATTGGAGCAAGATTGACTTGGAGGAACTGACTGGGTCCAGCGCGGAGGGTAGTACAGGAGGAGGAGCGGATCCATCTCGCGCTTCGATCGCTACGACCGCTTCGGCTTCCACTACAACCGCCACGCCTCACACATCCCTCGTCCCCCCTCCTCACTCTCCAGCACCCTCCTCCATCCACTCCTTCTCCTCCTCGTCGCCATCCAAAACCTCCCCCCTCGCTTCACCCTCCATGTCGCGCGACTCGTCCGCTTCCGGCTCCATCTCCGGTACCGCATATCCGTATCAGTACAAGCGCGGGGCGAACAGCCTGTTTGGTGCGCGCGCGTCGGGGGAGGGGAAGAGGAGTGTGGGGATGGGGAAGAGTCGGTCGAGGGAGAGTACGGCGAGTGGGAGTGCGAAGGGGAAGGAGAGGGAGAGGGAGAGGGAGGGGAGTGGCGATGCAGAGGGTGCGAGTCTGGAAGGGCAGGAGGTAGAAGGAGCGGACGAGACGCTCCTCATCCAATCTGACCCGCTCGCTTTCGACCCTGCCGATCCTTCCGGGCCCTCCTCACCCATCCCCTCGCTCCAAATCAATCCCTCCACACCCACAGACCCGACCTTCCCCCCTCCGCTCTCGCCCAAACAGTTGCGCCGGATCTCCCGCGCGTTGGATGATATCGAGGCGGAGTTGAAAGGTGATTGGGAGAGGTTGAGGGAGTCGGATTATGCGACTAGTGAGGAGGAGGAGGAGGGGGATGTCGAGGCGGCGAAGGAAGGGGAAGAGGAGATGGACGAGCGGGCGGACCGGACGAATCTTCACCACCTTGATGTCAGCCTCGACGGTCTCTCGCCCGTCTCGCCTCTCGAAGGCGTCCCCGCCTCCCCCACCTCACCCATCACAGCCTCCGACCTAGCCGGACTCACGACTTTCCACACGAGCGCTCCAGCAGACGATACCGAGCCCGTCGACCCTTTCTACCAACGCGCTTCGCCTCTCCCGCCTACAAGACTCCCTCCTTCTCTCCCTCGCTCGTCGCATGAGATCTTGCGCGACAGAGACTCGATGTCAGCGAGCCTATCGCACTCCTCCTCCCTCGACCGACTCGCTTCCTCCACCCCCCTCCCGCTCGGCACGCGCACCACTTCGCCCACTCCGACGCCCTCCCTCTCATCCATCCTCATTCCCGACCGCTCGGCGCGCGTCCGCGCATTGAGTCTCGATACGGACGATGATCCGACGGGAGGGGTGACGCCCTCCACCGCTGCCGACGAAGAGGAAGACTCGGAGGACCTCTCGCCGCGAGTGAAGAGGTTTCCGGTGGTGGAGAGGACGGATAGTGATCAGACTGCCAAGGCTGGAGGAGGGGGAGAAGAGTTACTGGAGGTTCCTCAGCAGGGAGGAGAGGAAGCGGACAAGACTGTGTCGGATAGCGGGCCTTTCGATCTCAGTCTCGGCGAAGGAGCGGACGAGTCGAAGGAGCCAGAGTCGGACAGTCGGCGCGGGTCTCGCAGGCGAAGTAGGATGCCCGGGGCGTTCGTGCACGACCCGGCGGAGCGCAACTCGACTGCTACGCTCGACTCGGTCGGCTCGAGCTTCCATGGCTCGACGGCGGCGGAACACCAAAGCGAGGACGATGTCTTCCCGCCCGACTCGACCTCGACTTCGCTCGCAGCGCCCAACTCGCCCGCATCGTCCGCCCCGACTTCCTATGCTCCCGCAATGTCCCGCCCCCATTCGCTCGCTACGAACGTCGTCGTCTCGTCCAGCCCGGATCTCGCCAAGTCCTCCGAAGCAGATGGATCGCCTTCCCTCCTCCGCCCAACTTCCTTCCCTCTCGACCGCCGACCTTCGAACGAGTTGCTGCAGATTATCTCCGAAGCGTCGCGCAACGGCGAGACCGGTACCGAGCCAGGCGACACCTCCGACTTGATCCTCCAAGACCTCCTCCTCATTCAGGAGAAACTCGTCCAGTCTGCCGCGCGGCGGGCAGCTCGTTCGGCTAGCAGTCCGAACAGCGCAATGGCGACTCCTTCGAGCGTCGCCAGTCCCGCCGAAGAGCTGCTCGCGAGTCCGCTCGCCGCTCGATCGGCACTGGCGAGCGACCCTCACTCGCTCGAGACGTCCCCCAAGGACGCCGCGAGTGCGCCACGCAAGGCGTCGGTCGAGAGCTCGGGCGATGCGACGGACTTGGGTGGACAGCTTGCCGGACTTGGACTGTCGTCGCTCATGCCGTTCGACCTGGGCGAGATGCCTGACTCGCCGCCGATGCGAAGGCAGAGCAATCGGGCGTCGATGAGGACTGCTGGGCGGGGCAGGAGCGAAGGAACGGGGAGGAGTCAGAGCGAAGCGGTTAGCGAGGCGGGCGAGGAGGACGACGAGCGAGACAGTACATTCCTTGGACCGGCGTCGACGCACATGACGGTCCAGACGAGCCAGACCAGCTCGACGTCGCCGTTCACCAACTCGGTCGTCACGCCGTCGTCGACGGAGCATTCGGATGTCTTCGAGTTTAGCAGTCTCGTTGGCTCGCGTGAGTACAGCTTCGCTTTTCCCGAGCAGGAGCGGTTGTTAACCTCGCCTGATTTTCGCAGCCGAGAGCGCTGCGTGGGAAGACGCGCAGGAGCACATCAAGCCAGACTCGTTTGCGTCAGGCTCGCTCCGCACGGAAGCTTCCCCTCGCGTCGACTTTCCCGACTCGCCGAACCCGTCGGCGTCGTCGTATAACGAGGACGCGAAAGACACGCCTGAGGGTTCAGCTCGAGTCGCGCCTCCCTCTGCATCGACTTCGCAGACGTCTTCGCTTGCGGGACCTGCGCCCATCGACACCGAGTCCTTCTTGCGCGTCCCTCGCCCTCGCAACAAGCCAATGCGAGACCCCGCTTCGACGCCATCAATGCTCATCCGCGACGTCCGCAACCAAGCGACTTTGGCGACCATCGCGCTCAAGAAGCAGAGTCCGGCATCACCTCAGACTCGCCCGCTCAACAAAAGCCGCTCGATCCGCAAGGGGTCCATCTCGTCGCCGCAGCTCGTCTCGGGGCCAGTCGACATCCCCGCCGTGCCTATCCTCAGCCCTCAACTCGGAGCGCAATCGCCTGGTCGGTCGGCGTCCAAGTCGGGCAAGAAGCGCAAAGACGAGGACGAAGGGCGCAAGTCCAAGGGTTTGGGTTCGCGCTTCAAGATGCTGCTCAAAAAGCCGAGCGTGCGGGATCAGCTCGGCCAGCTCAACGGCGACGAGGTCACGCCTTTCGTCACCGCCAATCCCGACAACGCTCCTCGAACCCGCACCAGCGCTATCCCCGTCACCCCGCCCAACCAGTCCCTCGCTCGCTTCGGCTCGCCCGGCTTCGACTCGCCTGATACGCCCGACACGGTCAAGACAGCCCAGAGGGACACGCTGCCAGCCGATGCGCCTGTGCCCGCACTCTCGGCCGTCAACGAGTCGTCGGAAGGCGTCACTCGCTCGCCTTCATTGGCTTCCAGCTCGCCACAGATCGACTCGCCTCGCTCTGGCGACTCGCACGGATCCGGACAGAGTCGCTCGCTCAGTCGGCTCATGTCGCGGATGCGCAGCAACACTGGAGGTGCGGACGAGAGCGCGACAACCTCACCGAAGGAAGATGCCGACGAGGCAAGCGGCCCAGTCGCGGACGACTCGCCGCACGTCGCGCTGACGAGCAAGTTCCTCGAGGGACTCGGCTTCGGCGACGACGTCGTGCAAGGCAGCCGTGCTCCCGCTCAATACGCCGTTGGCTCGCCAAGGAGTCGTCACAAGGCCGAGTTCGAGACGGTCAACGGCACGCCCATCGCTCCGTTGTCCTTCACGCGCAGGCCGGCTGGCGACGAGGCTGAATCGGCCGAGCCGTCCCCGTCCGCACCTTCTTTCGTTGCCGCTCCCCCTTCTCGCGCCTCAATCGACTCGATGCGCAAGCTCTGGCAGGCTGCGGAAGACCTTGGCTTGCCGAGGGATAAAGTGCAGGAGTTTGTCGAATCTGCCTACGCTCGCTCGCCGACGACTGCGTCCTCCCACGCCCACGCCGGCAGCACCGACTCGACTGCCGGCAGGTTCTCCGCGTTTGGTTCATCGAGCGGTTCGCAGCGACGACCGTCCGAAGCGCCTACCTCGGCGGACGGACACTGGCGTCGTCCGAGCGACTTCTCCGGTAACGCACCGTTGGAAGGGCTGGAGGTCCCTGGCGGCGCGGAAGCAAGCGCGCTTGCCGTGCCTCACTCGCCCAGCCTCGGCAGCATCGTCTCTCGCCGCAGCAGCGAGTACGCCAGCTCCTTCCTCGACTACTATGCCAACGACGACGAGCCTTCGCCCCTTCCTCGCTCCGACTCTGCATCCCTGCGCAGCCACGGACGCCGTCCGTCCCTTGCGCCGTCCGTCGACGAGTTGCTTGCTCAGCAGCAAAAGCAGGAGCACACCGCGCGCCTCCAGCCTGTCGCCGAGTTTGACGAGCACCCCGAGTACGGCAACACCGAGCGCGGAGCGCCCGCCTCTCCGACCCGGTTCGAGAACGATGGCGAGGTCGTCTGGCAAGTCCTGGACGACTTGCGCAACAACCGCCTTTCCGTGCTTTCGAAGAACAGCAGCATCAGCTTCGGCTCCCGCGACTCGTCGTTCGCCTTTGACAAGCAAAGCTCGGATGGCGACCAGCCGAACGGCATCGCCAACCTGCTGAGGTGAGTGTTCGAGCGTCATCGCGAGCATCAAGAACCAGTACTGACCCGTCACATCACACAGGCACCGCGACAGGAAGCGCTCGTCCGCCTCGATGCCGTCGGAATGGGACGGCCGCTACCCGTCGATCTACTTCCGCGAGGAGCAGGCGTTGATCAACCTGGCGGAGCAGGGAGGGGTTGCTCCTGAACTCGAAGGCCGCTTCCTCGTCCGCCCGAAGGACCAGGAGCCCGAGGTGCCGCCGCTCCCCGAGCAGTACCGTACGGACGCTCAAGCCAGCGCGTCGCAGGAGACGGAGGCGCCATCGGCGGCGTGACCCTTGCCAGCTGGACTTGGCTCGATCTCGTCACTCTGTTTTCTTGCGCACCCGCAGACACTTTGTGTACATTCTTTCGCATCGCAATAGCATTCGCATCTTACGTTCCGCATCCATCGATGTCTACTCCTCGCGAAAGATCCGTCTGGCCGTCAAGTTCTCCTCGCAGACGTAGGCGACCTTTCGAGGCCGCTTGTCTTGCTTCGCCTGCACCGCGCATGCTTGCCTCTGTTCCCACTCCCCCTCAGGCATCTCGCCTCGTTCCACAGCTGCGTCCTTCTCCCGCACGGTCAGCGCCGCGAGCGACTCTACGCCTTGCGCGTCCAGGACGGCTTGTGCGACGCTGTCGGCGAACTTTGACCAAGCGTCGTGAGTCGGAGACGTCGCAGGTGATGAGTCAACGATGATGGCGTCGTAGCTGTCGGCGTATGGTGCTGGATGGAAGCGAGATTCGGGCGAGGAGGACTTGAGCATGCTGGAGAGGACGGTGTCGCGGGGGAAGCCTGCCGATAAGCAAGCCAGTGTCACTCTTGGCCCTCGTGAAAGGGGAGAACAGGACGTACAGGTCGACACAGTCCACCTAGCTGTCTTGCGGTCAGCGAGAGACAGGCCGGACCGTATGCGGACGAGCGGCAATTCGCGGCAGCAGCTGCACCTCTGCGTACTGCGGCAGACGTTGCCCTCTCCGCTCGAGTCGTGCGTGACCTCGTCCGCCGCTGTTCGTCGAGCGACGACGGCGAACTGCGAAGGTCGAGATGCGAGGTGGTCGAGGACGAGGGCGGAGCGAAGGTCGTCAAGTGGCTATCAAGCGAGCGTCAGCGACCAGTAGAATGAGTACACTGGAGAGTAGCGGCACCGACCAACTTGATATACATCCAGCCGACCTCCCATTCCTCCACAAACACCGTCTTCTTCCCCTTCCCGCCCTTTGCGCCCTTTTGCTCGATCCGCTTGACCCGCTTTCCAGCCGAAGACGCGTTACTGCTGCAGAGAGCGATGCCGGAGAGTCGAAAGATGCGTTCGGCGGGTGATTCGGTAGGGTCGCGCCAGGCGGGATAGTGACCGAGGGAAGCGAGACGGCGGTTCGTCATCCACGCTGCGAGTGAGCGCGTGGCGATGAGAGCGCAGCCTGCGCAGCCAATCTGCGCGTCGAGATTGATCAGTAAGGAGCGTCAAGCGGAGGAAACAGGACGCGTACAAGCTGGTAGAACAGGTCCCAGCCTTCTCGCGGCCAATCCTGCCTACTCGACTCCCTCCAGCACAGCCCGCCGAGAAGCTTGACAGCTTCTCCTGTCTCGACAGGTTCTCCTGCCTCGACAGCCGACGCTGTCAACCTCGGACTGCGAAATACGGCGTCAATAGCGTCCGCCAGGACCTCAACGCCAAGCCAGCCTTCGTCTGCGGCCTCGAGCGACTTGGTTTTCGTTCCGACGCGAGTCGGTGCGGACGATTTGGCGAACTTCAGGCCTCTCCACAAGGACCGTACTTCCGCTTCGCCGGCTGCTCGCGATTCGGGGTTGGCAAGTCGGGCTTCGAGCAGGTGGAGGAGGCCGAGCACTGAAGTTGGTGCATCGGACGCGGCCAGCACGAGATTGGCGAGTCGAGGGACCCGGAGCACAACGTAGCGGACGACGCTCTCGACGAAAGACGTCCAGGTCCCCGGTCGAACGGTCGCGGCGAGGTCCGTCGGAGGGACGAGATATTCTCGAATGCGGTCGAGGAGAATATGCGGGTCGGTTTGGGAGGGCGAGGGCGTCGAGAGTTCGGCGAAGAAGTCGTCAACGTCGGAGGTGGGCGAGGCGGCAACGACTGGCGCATTTGCCGCCTTTCTGCGACGCGAGGCCCTGGATGGAGTTTTCGGCGACTTGGCAGCACTCGGAAGGTTGACGCGACGAGAAGGAGGCGTCGAAGGAGGTGTAGGAGGCGTTTCGATCGTCTGCTTTGTCGACGCTGATTGGGGCGGCCCCTCGTCGCAGACGAAGGACGGACGGGTGGGTTGCTGGAGAATCCAGGAGACCGAAGAGCGGGAGAGAGTGACCTGCGCAAGAAGCGTCAACCGAGAGGTCGCTTCATCGAGGTTGGCCAGCAACGCACCTCGTAGGCCCGCCTATCGAGCGCACAGAGGAGTTCTTCCATCCGCGAGCGCTCCTTGTTACTGTCAGGCGATGCCCGTCAAGAAAGCGTGACGGGGCGAGCGTGAATGATTTAGGACGCACAGCGTTTCGACAAACAGCGCGTGTCCCCAATCGCCGCCCGCATAGAACTGCTGATGGTGCTCCGCCCGTGCAACGATGACTCGCCGGGCCAAATTCCACTTCGAGCGAGCAGCTTCGCTCCACAGCCGCAATCTGGGAAGGTCGTCGCTTGTCGAGATCGCTGCGTGGGTCGGCGGGAGTTGCGAGTCGTCGAAAGCTTCGAAGGCGTGCGTGAGGCGCTTGTAAGACTTGAGAAGCTTGGCCTGTCGTGCAGGAAACGACGTGAGCGGAGACCGAGAATCGCAAAGCTGCGAGTGGACCCACTTGCAACTCCTCGTGAACGGCACACCACTTCGAGTCGCTAGAAGCAGGTTGAGTGCAAGGCGACTTGGCGATGTTGTCGTACGCGAGGCAGTGGCCGCACGATGGCGGGCACGGTGGACTGTTAAGGGAGGGGAGCGAGTCGGTCAGCTTGGAAGACGTTTCGCAGTGTAACCGCTGGACGTACGGATGCTCGTAGTGCATCTTTGAGGGCGAGTGCACAAGCAAGAGGAGAATGATAGCAGGCTAATGTAGCAAGTCGCGATCCTTGAGAGGCGGACCCTCCCGGTCACCACACTAGGACGCCTGGTCACGCAAGCGTTCGAGTGTCGTTATCGCTGATCTGGCTCGATGAACGTCATCTCAGGACTTCTTCGCAGCCCTCGAGCGTCAGAGTCCGCCCTGCAATCTTCGTCGCCGTAGAAACCCCTCATCAGCTGGACCAGGATCGAGGAGGAGCAGTCGAGGTGTGGGACCAGCCAAGCAGTACTAGCGCACGCTTGATTGGCGCAAGTACTCGTGTCCAGCAGGCCAGCAAGCGTACGGAGCAGCAGGACACGTGGTGGTCGCGGTAGACCCTTCTCCTCCTCGTCCGCGCTTCTTCCGCTCGCTCCTCGTCTCGCTCGCTTCGCCGGCTCGGATCTGATCTCGCTCAGAGCCCTCTTTCACGGTTACACAGCTCATCATCGTACAGTCAGCTTGCGCCCCGCAAAGCTTTATCAGCCTCAGCCTCTGCCGACGCCGTGCCGCTCAAGTTTCCCGCGCAGAAGCGCCGTTCGCTGCTGCTCTCCTCCCTCGCTTCGCTTGTGTACGCTGCCGTGATCTTGCTGGGGCCTCGCTTATCATACATCACGGGGACACGATGTCCTACGCTGCACACGGCGCTGCTATCGCCCATCACGACCTCGAAGCGGCCGAGAACACGGACCGGCGGCATCCTCACGAGCACACCCACCATGGCCAAGCGCGGCGCGAGGAGGACTTGTCGAGTACAGCGGTAGTGTGGGACGACCGGCTGCAGGAGTGGCGGTCGCAGGACGAGGCGGTTGAGGAGGACGAGGCAGACACCCGCTCGAGCGAGGGAACTGCTGTCGGGCCAACACCGACGGTCTCTGCGGAGGGGGAGAAGGCGCTTGAGCGACGAAGAGACTCTGGCGAAGGGCGCGAAATCTTCCCGGTGGCTCCCGGGACGACTGGTACCTTGGGCGAGAAGGAGGGGAAGGAGGTCATCTGGCTCGAGTGGGAGAAGGGCGACCCAGAGAACCCTTTCAACGTGCGTACAACTACTCTCGCGATGTCACGGCGTGGCGGAATGTGAACGCTGACGTTGCCCCTTTCTCCTCGTGCGCTTTCTCCATACTCTGCGACATCATCACTCGCTCTTCCACTCACGCTCCTGCTATTCTTCGGTCTCCACGCAGTGGAGCAAACGAAAGAAGTGGCAAACCACCCTCATCGCATGCCTCTTCACCCTCGTTCGTCACGTTTCGCTGCCTTCTCTCGCAGGACTCGCGCTAACGCAGGACATCCTGCAGCTCGTCGCCTACGCCGGCACGGCCTTCGCGATGGGCAGTGCGTCGATGATGCGAGATCTCAACTGTTCTCACGAGGTCGCGACACTAGGGTTGTCGATGTGAGCCATTCGAACGATTCCCGCCGAGCGAGGCTGACTTTGCTTTTTCCTGACAGCTTCCCACTCGGTTTCGGTCTCGGTCCTCTCTTCGCAGTGCGTGCTGGTTTAATCTCCTACGGACGAGCTGCGACTGACACTTTCGCTCGCAGGCGCCGCTCAGCGAGTCAGTCGCCTCACCTTCCCTCCTGGTTCTTGACAGTGCGTTCAGGACTGACAACTTCCTTGCAGAGTATACGGACGGTATCCGATGTATGTCGTCTCGTCGCTCGTCTACCTCATCTTCTTCATCCCGACTGCGTACGGCCAGAACATTGTGCGTCTACCCCTTCTCTTCCTCCAGCCGTCCGCGCGCTGACTCTCGTAAGTGCAGCAAACAGTCGTTGTCGCGCGCTTCATCGGCGGCCTCGCCGCATCAGCCGGCTCGACCCTCGTCGGCGGAACCGTCGCCGACCTCTTCGAGACGCACGAGCGCGGTCTTCCCATGAGCGTCTTCTCCATCTGCGCTTTCGCCGGCACGGGTCTCGGACCCGCTGTGAGCGGTTATATTGAGCTGAAGAAGGGGTGGCGGTGGATCGAGTGGGTGCAGGTGCGTCCTCCTCTTCCCTCTCACCCTGCTGCACATCGTTGATCGGTGCTTTCGCGAGCAGATGATGTGCGCCGGCGTCCTCGTCGTCTTGATCTTCCTCTTCACCCGCGAAACTCGCGGATCAGTCATCCTTTCCCGCCGCGCACACAAGTTGCGAAAACAGACAGGCGACGAGCGGTATCAGTGCAGGAGCGATGCGGAACGCGCGAGTCTGGCGGTGTTGATGAAGGTTAGCATGACGAGGCCGTTGTGTGAGTTCGCGTTCGCCACAATGGAGCGAGAGGGAGCGAGCTGACGAACGGACCGTTGCAGATTTGCTTGGCACGGAGGCGATCGTGTTCTTCTTCTCTGTGCGTTCCTCTTTGCCTTCACTGCACGAACTTTCATTGACGTACGCGGTTTGCGTAGCTTTGGGTCGGGTACGCCTCAACTTAGCGTTCCTCGGCGTCGTACCTCGACTCACGCTTTGCCGCTCGCAGGTTCTCTTGGGGTTGCCTGTACCTCCTAGTCGGTACGTCACATTCTCTTTGTGCTTTCTTTGGCTGCCGCTGATGCAGATCGTCTGCAGAGGCCGTCCCGCTCATCTTCGGCAACACCGTGCGTCCGGCTTTCGCTTCATCTCGGTCATTTCCATGCACGCTGACATCCCTTCCTCGCTCACAGTACGGCTTCAACATCGGCGAAGTCGGTCTCACCTTCTACTCGGTCGTGTGAGTCGGATGCGCCGCATCCTACCATCTCAACTCCGCGCTGACTTTCCCTTTCCCAGTGTCGCATCCATCATCGGTTTCGGCACCAATTTCTACCAAGAACGTCTCTACCGCAAACACTTTGCCCGCCGCGGACCCGAAGCGCGCCTCTATGCCTCCCTGATCGGCGGCCTCGTCTTCCCCGCCGGCGCCTTCGCCCTTGCCTTCAGCCAGGGACGCGGACACTGGATGGGTCCTGTTGTGGGACTCGTGTTGATCTTCTCGGGCGTCTATTCGATTTATCTGGCCGTGTTCAGTTATCTCGCCGACTGTTACACAATCGTGCGTTGCGCTTCCCTCTCTCCTCGAGTGTCCTGCACATCTTCGCCTTCGTCCGCCTCGCTGACACTCTTGTCGTGCCGCAGTACGCATCAAGCGCTCTGTCCGGACAGTCGCTCTGCCGGAATCTGATGGCCTTCGCGATGCCGCTCTTCACGTCACAGATGTACAACGGGCTGGGCTACCAGGTTCGTCCTGACCTCCCCTTCACTCAGCGTGGAGTTGCTGACGTGAGTTGTGTGCACAGTGGGCGTCGTTCCTTGCGGGTTGCATCGCGCTTGTGCTCGCTGCAACCCCTTGGATCCTGTTCAAGTTTGGCCCGACCATCCGCGCGAAGGTGTGCTTTCCTCTTCTCGCTGCAACAAGCACGGGTCGCTGACAGTATTGCGCGCCTGCAGAGCAAGTTCGCGAAGGAACTCGCCCGGATGCGCGGCGAGGCCTGAGGCTACTGCGACGGATCTCCTCCCTCTCTCGGTTCTTCTCATTCCAGCATGGCTCTCGCGCATTCATTCGTACACTCGTAATCTTCGCTCTCTCTCGCATCTCGCTCGTTCGGAATAGACATGCATCTTTATCCTCCCTTGTCCTCGAAACTCCGCGGGGCTGAGCGTGACAAAAGTTGAGCGAGGGTGCTCACCTTGCCCAGTTGCGCTCACTGCTCTGCAAAGCTTGCCAGCGTACAGAAACAGCTCCTTTGCCAGCGTCGCAGAGTGATCCGCGCCTTCCGCCGGGTCTCGCCTCGCGCACCGCCCGTCTCGCTTCGTCGTCGTCGCCCGCCGACTCCTCGTCTGCGCGCGCTCATCCGGCTCGCTGACTCGACGGACATCAAGCGACACGTCTCGACAGCGACACGAGCACACCCAGCGACTCGCACCCGCCCGCGCCGCCGCCCAGCCGAGTTTGCTCGCATCGTCGGAACAGACGCTCCTCGGCTCTCATCCTCGCTCACACAGCACTCCGTCAACCAGGGCAAGCACGCGAGGAGGAGCAGGACCGACTCAACTTGACGCACATTCGCCCGCGCATTCCCAGCAGCCGCTGACGACGACATCTCGACTTGCTCGTCCCCGGCCATTACCCCACAGCTTCTCCAGAGTCGGGCTTTATTTCCCCCTTTCGAATCCTCGCTCTCCCGGTGAGTCGCAGAGTTCTCCCTCATCGAGCTGTGCAGAGCAGGCAATGAGGCGGGCGTTCGATGGGGCGTCGCGCAGACGGAGCCGAACCGGGACGTCGGGGAGCGCTCGCTGATTTTCCCTCTGGCGATTACAGAACCCTCTCGATCGACCCGCGAGGCACACGCGCCACGTCTTTGGCGCTCTCCGCACTCGAACTCTTCCGATTTTGCTCGCTCCCGCCCGGCAGACACCACACCCTTTCTTCTTCCACCACCGCCCGCTTATCTCGCCGGTACATGCCGCAACGCCGTGCCAGCGTCGGCGTAGACGCGGCAGACTCGCCCGCTGCTGGCGGATCTGCAGCAGGCGCAGGCCGGAGCGGAAGCACGACAACAACGAGGGGTTCGGCCGTGCGCGGCAGTCGCGGTCGAGGGCGGGGCAAGGCGCGCAGAGGATCCAACGGGCCTGTCGTACAGTCTGTCGCCGGGGACGGGTCGGACAGAGACGAGCTGAGCGAGGGCGACGAAGGCTTGTCGCCCTCCGCGACGCCGACGGGCGGTGCAGACCGTTCGTCTCGCCTCGTCTCGCCTGAACTGGGCATGCCGCCGCCCGAAAACGCGACCACGAAGACGTTGCAGCCACGGTCGTCGTCGCTGTCGGCACTTTCGAGCCACTCGTCCTCGCCAGTTGCCGATTTCGCTCCCGCATCTTCTTCCGCAGCCCGACACCAGACTCCCTCATCCCATTCCGCCGAAGAACTCGATACGACGCTCGATTCGCCAGCTTCGACTGCGACTGCACGGCCAGCAGCGAACGGCGCGGCAACGCTGAACGGAAAGGACTTTAGCCCCGAGACGAAGGCTTCTTCGTTCGACCCAGCTCGCGAGGACTCTCTTTCCGAACTCGAGCGGTCTGCAGACGAAGCAGCAGGACATGGAGACGATGGCGGCGAGTCGTCGGAAGACGAGCCTCTCGCCTCGCGCTCGGCTACCTCGACTCCCGCTCCCTCAAACCTCGCTTCGCCCTCTCAATCGCCCGCACCAAAACGTCGCGGCCGCCCACCCGGCTCGAAGAACAAGCAGTACCGGATGCCTCTCCCGCGCTCGCAGCGAGCGACTCTCAAAGCTGCCGCCAGCTTTACGGAAGACGACGAGCGACGGTCGCCTGAGCCTTCGACTTCGAACGGCGGTGGCAGCGGGAGCTCGACGCCTGCGCCTGCGAGGGCGACTAGAGCGAATGTTACACTCCCTCCGGGGTATATATGGGGTGTTACGAGCAACCGGTGGCCGAAGAAGAGGGAGAAGGACGACGAGGCGGGCGCGATGTTGACTCCTACGCCGGCCGAGAGCAGGGCTAGCTCGGCTTCCGCTGATGTGAACGGGATGGTGGAGCAGGATGGAGCGGACGAAGAGGAGGAGGAAGCCAAGCCGCTTGCCACAGCGGAGGAGAAGCGCCAGGAGCGCGCAAGCGCGGACGCTGAGGAGGATGTGCCGATGAAGGAGGAGACGGCGGAGCCGGTCGTGAGCGTGGCGATGTCGCGCGAGACGAGCCTTGATGAGGGATCTGTGACGCCGGCGCGGACGCCGAAAGGCAAGGGGAAGGGCAAGGGCAAGGGGAAGAGGGGAAAGAAGGAACTTCCAGAACCTGTCGAGCGAGGTGCGTGCCCTCTCTCTCCTGCACCTACAAGTTTGACGCTGATGACTTTGCTCGCGCAGCGAAACGACGGAAACTCGACACGCTCGATAAGCAAGCGGCCGAGCGACACGCCGCGCGCGAGTCGGCGCGGCTCAGGTTCCTCGACCAACTCGACGACGAGCTGCGCATGGTCGAGGAACGGACGCATCCGCTGCTCGAGTTGACGTACAACCGGCTACGGGAGGAGAAGGCGCAGAAGCTTGAGCAGTTGAAGCGGTATCATGAGGAGCGGGAGATGGAGCTTGGGAGGCTGATGGACGCAAGGCTGACGGCTTCTTGGCGACAGTGGGCGGTGAGTGCTTATCGTACTCTCGCCGCTTGACTCGCTGATGACAAATTCGCCCGCAGGATCGGAAGGACCGCTCGAGAATGGATCTCTACCTCGAGAACCATTCGTCGCTCAAGAGCCTCGTCGCTGAGGAGCGTATCTACCCTTTCTTCCGAGATCACCCGCTCTTCATCAACCAGCACGACCTCCCTCCGACCGGCTACTACCGCGGACCGCAGCGCGATCCCGCCTTCGTCCCTCGTGAGATTCTCCATGCCGGCCACTACGTCGAGCCGCCTCCTCACAACCCGGCGCTCGGCCACAATGCTTGGAAGCTTTCGGCGGAGGAGATTGAGGCGGACCTCGCGCTCTTCCACGAGATTGAGGACGAACCGCCTTTCCCGCACTCGGCCTCGCTCCAGCCGCCTGCGCCCGTCGGCATGTACCCCTTCCCGCCGCCGCCGTACTACTACGATGCCGGCGCACCTCTCGCCCCTCCCGCACCGCCGCTCGCCAACCCTTACATGACCGCGCCAGGATATCCGCCGATGGGCGCGATGCCGCCTCCTCCACTTATGGCGCCTTACCCTCCCTTCTATCCCGGTCCTCCGCCGCCCATGCATCGTTCCCACCCACTCGTCTCGCCCGACGAGAAGCTTGCTGCGACTCCAGCGGCGCATCCGTCGCAACCTCCGCCTCATCCATCTTTCCCCGCCTTCGGTCACCAGCCTGCCGGGCCGCCCAGAGAAGCAGTCCCAGCTTCGTTCGCTCAGCCTTCGCCGCCGGTCAAGATCAACAAGTCGCCCAACGTCTCGAAGAGCAAGCCTGCGCAGTCAGCCACGACCGGTTCGGCGCCAGCAAGTTCAGCTCCGCCTGCAGCCGGCAGGATGACGAATGGGCACCACGACGGGTCGCTGGCGCCGCCTAGCCAGAATCCGTACGGAGCCAGCTTGGCCCTCGCGAACGGCTACGTTGCGTCGGCGTCTCAACCTCCTTCTTTCTCGCCATACTCTGCCCCGCCAAAGTCGCCGAGTCGACCACCAGCGATGTCGCCGCCGTCGACGTACGCCGCTCCGCCGCCTGGTGCAGGCCAGCGACCGCCTGCAGATCCTCCTCGCTTCTCCCCGCCATCCGGCCCTTCCTTTGCCCCTTCGCCGAGCACGTCAGCCACTGCGCCGCCTGCACCATCGCCGTACGCTTTCCCTCCTCCACTTGCCTCTCAGAAGTCGAGCTCGAACGCTCCTCTCGCTGCGTTGCGCCAGCCTCTCTTCCCCTCGTCTCTTCCAACGCCTTCCTCGACTCCGAGCTCGACGTCGCCCTCGATCGGCGCAACCCGCATCTCACCCAACCTCGCCCCGCCCAAGCTTCCCTCGCTCTCGCACCCACACCGGTCCCCGCCGCGCCAGTCGCCGAACGTGCCTGCCGCCCTCCCTCCGCTCTTCCCGCCCGCCTCCGTCCCAGGCGCGGCCAAGACGTCGCCCCTCCTTGCGCCGTTAGGCAAGACGGACGCATCTGTCCCCGTTGGACCGGCAACTGGTTTGCCGCTACCGAGCTGGCTCAAGCCGCTCAACCCGCCGCAGGGAGGAGGAGGAGGCGGCGGACCGAACGGCGCAGGTCAGCCGAAGCTGCCGCACGAAGCGCGGGCGCAGCCCACGGGATCGGTCAATGGCGCAGGAGGAAAGCCGTACTGGGGCTGAGGCAGGAGCTGGCGCATCTTCGACGTTACTTAGCAGCATTTCTCGCAGCATCTTCTTCCGCTCACGTTGTCTTCTACGCATCGCATCCTCATACCCACCACCGCTTGAGCACGTTGTAGCAGTAACCCTCCTCTTGACCGGAGCGCAATCGCAGCTCTTGATTCGCAACAAGCTTAGATGCGTTTACTCCTTCGTCTACACCGCCATCAGACGACGTCTGGCCCGCTTCCCGCCTTCGTCTGTTTCACCGTTTACGATTCCGCGTCGATCTGGATCCAGCTCGTCGCGTTTCCCGCCCAAACGTCCACAACCTCGCCCGCTTCCTCGCCCTCCTTGCTCGGCCAGAGCCTGCGCGGCTCCCACACGTCCGCCAAGTCCCCGAGTTCCAACTGACCCGACGACCCGAGGTTCCCGTGCTCGTTCCAGCCCCATCCGTATACCGCAGCGTCCGTCGCGCCTCCGTCCTTGCTGTTGATGCCGACTGAGTAGGCTGGTCGCACGAGGGCGAGGACGTGCTCGCTACCGCAGGCGAGCTGAACTTTGAAGCGAGTTGACGAAGGAGGAGGAGGGGGAAGGCGGATCAGACGAGTGCTGGAGGGAACGGATTGGTGGCCTGGAGAAATCAAGTCGGTTGCGTTAGGCGAAACGTCGCTGCGAGAGGCGAGTTGGCCGTGCGAGTTCAGGCCGAAGGCAACGATGAGAGGCTGAGCTGGCTCTGCGGTCGTCGTGGAAGGAGCGGATAGCTCATGCACTCGAGGCGAGACGACGAAGAAGGTGCTGTTCCATGTGCACCCGACGGCGTCGATGTCGTAAGGACTGCAGTCCGGGAGGACGTGCTGGAAGGCGGACAGAGTGAGGAGGTTCTGCGATGGCGATTGGCGATGCGTTCGAGCTGCTGAACTGGCAGGGCCGGCAACTTCGCTTGCAGCAGTCACGTTCGCCGGTCCAAGTTGTCCATGCTTGTTGGCCCCAAGAAGCAGGACAGTCCGCGCTCCCGCAGCGTCCGACGGTTGCTGATGTCCGGGCGAGCGCTCGAGAAGGACGGCCGTGTGGTCTCGACCGAACGCGATGTCGACAATGTCGGAAGCTGAAAAGGGCGAAGGGAGAGGGATCCGTCGAGGGATAGGCGTGATCTTCGGGAGCGAAGTTGCGGAGGGTGCGATGCCGAGCTGGCCGTGGCGGGAAGCGCCCCATCCTAGGAGATGATCTTCGACGGCCTCGGTTCCGGGTGAGGTCGTCTCACATAGCGCGACGACATGTCGAGGGCCTGCCTCGAGTCGGAGGACCCGAATCCTCGGCTCCGTCTCCTTGCCCTTTTCCGAGCGCGCAGCAGCCGCTGTCAGGTCAACGACTGATGGCTCGACACGCGACGGACATGCGCAGCCTCGCTCGCCCCAGTCGTTCGCGCCGAACGAGATAAGGACGTCCGAGCCGGTTCCTCCGCGAGGTCGCAAGACGACAAAGCTTGTCTCCCAGCATGCCGCGACGAGCTCGATGTCATACTGAATGTCCTGCAAGCCAGCCGAGCATGCAAGGTCCGCTGCCTCGAGCGGTACGAACGAGAGTGTCGGCGAATCTGCCGGGCGAGACGGTCCAAGTTGCCCGCGTGCGTTGCTGCCGGCCGCCAAGAGTCGCCGCCTTCCATTCAACGAGTACGCGATCGCGAGTGTGTGGTTCGCGCCGCACGCGACCTGCGAGAACCGCTGTCCTGGGTTAGAGGTGGGGAGACGAGCGAAGTGATGGCTGTCGTCGCCGTGGGCGAGTGCGAGCTGGCCGTGCGAATTTGAGCCCGTGCAGAACAAGCTGTAGACCATCTCTAGCGAGTCATTCAGCCCGTCAAGCGTGTCATCGGGATAGTGTGGGAGCGTGACCCGCAGGAGGCGCGGTCGGCTCTCTTCACCCGCTACACGTCGCTGCCTCGTCGCTGGAACGCTTGCTGGAGTCCGTGCTGGCTATTCAGACTCTCTGAATGGCTACGATGACCGATCCCGACCCACCACGGCCGTCGCATCCTTCCCACTCCTCGTCGCTCGACGAGTCGATCACCGACTCGAACACGCCGATGGACACCTCTGCGGCGCTGACGGTACCGTCGAGGGGACGGCGAGGAATCTCTGACCGTGCAGCTGAAGCAGGCGAAGCGGATGCGGACATGGAGGTCGACCCGCCTCATCCTCTTGGCTCCCTCTCTTCCTCAAGGACGAACCCCCTCACGTTCCTCGCCTCGTCATCGCCCTCGCGTGCACTCTCGCGCATGTGGGACCGCTTCTCGCCTCCTTCCGTCTCTTCACCCTTCCATCTCCCACACCCTCCCGCCTTTCCTCCCAGCTTCCTCGCCAGATCGGGTCCGCCCGCGTCACCCGACCCCACCATTCCTGCAGAGACAGATCTCTTCGCGCCGCAACGACAAATTCGCCCGATTCTCGAGCAGCATGACTCGGCGTCTCAGCTGTCGTTCTCGTTGCGGAGAGGAAGCGAAGCGGGAGTTGGCGGCCGCTTGCCCATGTCGTCGGTGCGAGAAGAGGAGGCAGTGCCTGCGAGTCGTTGGAGGTCGGCGAGCGAGGGATGGGAGTCGCCGTTCAAACTGCCGAGCATGCCGTGGAAAGGCAAGGAGAAGGACAACCCGCCTCTGGAGTCGAATATCCTCGGCTACGACGACGAAGCATGCTTTGTGGATGGGCTGGAGGGCAAAGTCGGTGCGTGCACTCAGAGGACATGCCTGCGCTTGATTAGCGGCAGGCTGACATTTCTATCCTGCAGACTTCCTCGCCTCGCTTCCTTCCGAGATCTCTCTGCACATCCTCACCCACCTCGACTTCCGCGACGTCCTGTCCGTCAGCCTCGTTTCGCGTCAATGGCGCATCCTCGCCCTCGACCCGCTGCTCTGGCGCGACCTCTTCCACCAGAACCCGCGCTGGCACATCAAGCCTGAAGCGTATCGAGCGGCCGCTCAGGCTGCGCAAGCGGCACAGGCTGCAGCTACTGCAGCGAAGGAGGCTGTCACGGCGAGCCAGAATGGGACTGGCAGCCAGCAGGCTTCAGATCGTCCGATTATGCCGAACCTGAAACGTGCGGCAAGCAGCTTCGGTCGCGCAGGAGCGAAGCGTCTCGTCACGGGCGCAGACAAGGTCTCGCAAGGCGGCGCCGTCATCGGTCGCAAACTGAGCGAGATCGTAGGCGACTTTGGCGGACTTTCGCTCGTTCCCGGCATGGCCAGCGTACCGTCGTCGCGAGTGCATTCTCGTGCGCCGAGTGAGAACGGAGACGTTGTCATGGAGCCGAGCCAGACTCGGCCGCCAACACGACCTTCGCCGAATCGTCGCTCGACTGGATCGACTCAGCTTCTCAGCCTCTCAACGGCTGGACCGCCGTCTCTTTCAACTCTTCAAACAAACGCATTCGCATCGCCTCCTTCCGCAACTTTGTCTCGCAACAACTCGTCGTCCGCCCTCTCCTCCCTCACCTCTGCACTCCCGACCACCATGACTACCCCTCGACGGAACTCTGCTGCGCCGCCCTCTGTTGCGCCGAACAGTCCCGTCCCTACTTCCAAGCCACGACTGCCTTCCTCGCCGTACTCCAACGCCGCTCGCCCTACCACAGCCGACTTCGACGAGTTGACAGATCCAGCGGGAGCCGCATCGCTCTACCTTGACTGGCCGCGCCTCTACCGTGACCGCTGGCTTCTCGAGCGGCGGTGGCAGCGTGGCAAGCCGAGCTGGAGCTGGTTCGAGGGCCACACGGACAGCGTCTACTGCATCCAGTTCGACGAGCGCAAGATTATCTCTGGCTCGGTGCGAAACGTTCCCTCGCTTCAGTCCCGCCGACTTACTCATCGGTGTCCCGCGGTCACGCAGCGCGATCAGACAATCCGCATCTGGGACATCGCCTCAGGTACGACCATCCACACCCTCACAGGCCATGAAGGCTCCGTCCTTTGCCTCCAGTACGACTCTTCAATCCTCGTCACCGGCTCGTCCGACTCGCGCGTCATCGTCTGGGACCTCGTCGGCGACGAGGCGACAGGGAAGGGGAAGTACGAGCAGAAGATGACGCTTGTTGGGCATGCGATGGGCGTGCTTGACCTTTGCTTCGATGACAAGTGGATCGTCAGCTGCTCCAAGGTACGCCGGAATCACTCGCTCTGGGTGCCGAAGAAGCTCATGCTGACTCCTCCTCGCCCGCAGGACACGACAACTCGCGTCTGGAACCGCTCGACCGGCGACTTGTACCGCGTCCTACAAGGCCACCGCGGCCCCGTCAACGCTGTCCAGCTTCACGGCGACCACGTCCTGACTGCCTCGGGCGACGCGCTCATGAAGCTGTGGGACCTTCATACCGGCCAGACGATCCGCACCTTTTCCGGTCACTCGCGCGGTCTCGCCTGCGTCCATTGGGCGCCGAGCGGCTCGCACTTTGTCTCGAGCAGCAACGACAAGACGATCAAGCTGTGGAACGCCGAGACGGGCGAGTGCGTCCGGACCTTCGTCGGCCATACGGACCTCGTGCGCGGCTTGGCGTACGACGAGAAAAGCAAGATGATCGTCAGTGGAGGATACGACCGCTCGACGAGGGTGTGGGACGCCGAGACGGGCAGGGAGATCCACAAGTTCAAGAGTCACGCCAGCCTCGTCTTTGACGTTGCGTTCGACGCGAGCCGGATCATCAGGTGCGCAGCCCGCTTCTTTGTACTGCGATGGCGCTCCATCCTGGTCTGCATGCTGATCACGGTTGCCGCAACAGCTCTTCGCACGACAAGCGCATCCTCCTCATGAACTTTGGCGTCGGCCTCGACGTCGACAAGTTCGCCTAACACTCGCCATACGTCATCCTCTCCCCTGTACAACTGTCGACATCGCAACACCTCGCACATTCTGCCAGACCCGCATCTCGCATCGACTTCTCGCAGACCTCGCCCTCATTCAATCGCCATCGTCTCGCTCTCGCAGCATCCCTTCTTGCAACTTTGCGCTCGTTTCATCGCATCTGTCTGCGTCGCCGAGCAGTAGAGAGCCTGGCAGCAGCAGAGGACTCTTTGGCTTTCGCTTGACGTTGTCAACCCGACGAGAGAACAGCTCGGACAAGGTTGGCCTCGCCCCGCTCCGCCAGCAATGGCCAAGGGCAAAGCTGCGCCCGCACCTGCTGCACCGTCGTCCAACTGGAAGTCCCTCAAAGCCGTGCGTCTACTCCCGCTGCCTCGTTGCGCCGTCTTTACCCCACTCACTCGCTCGACCTGTGTGCAGGCGATCAAGCCAACGACCTCGACCGCCGCGGCTGTCAAGGACTCGAACAAGCGCAAGAGGAGGCATTCGAGCGTCGCATCCGATGCTAGCTCTGTCCCGAGCGTGAGGGACAAGGGGAAGGGCAAGGCGGTCGGTCAGGCTGGCGAGGGAGATGCGGCACACGGGAGGGAGAAGGGAAAGAAAGGCAGCGCAGCGAAGAAGCTGGTACCCGTGGACGAGATCATGAAGGGCGGAACGGCTGCTTGGCAGCAGGAGTGAGTCTCGTTCGCCTCGACTTCGACTCGAGGAGGAGGTAGCTGATCTCGCATCCCTTTCTCAGGACCGGGCAGTATCTCGGTGAGTTTGCACGCTGATTACCATCTCGCGAAAACGCTGACCCCCTTGGATCGCAGCAATGGACTGCGAGATGGTCGGTGTCGGTCCCGAAGGCGTCGAGTCGACTCTCGCTCGCGTCTCTATCGTCAACTACCACGGCTGCGTCATCCTCGACCGCTTCGTCAGGCCGCGCGAGAAGGTTACGGACTACAGGACTTGGGTTTCGGGTGTCAGGGAGGAGGACTTGCGGAACGGTGCGCTGCTCTCGCGCGACTGCTTCCGCTGTACATGAGCTAACGCATTCGCTTCCTGTAGCTCCTAGCTTTGCGGAAGTGCAGAAGGAGGTCTCGGCGCTGCTGACAGGTCGGATACTGGTTGGACATGCCCTGTCGAACGATACCACCGTGCGTCCTCCTTGTCCAGGCTCTCAAGCCGTTCTGACGTAACGGGGCTCGCAGGTCCTCCTCCTCTCGCACCCTCGGCATATGACTCGCGACACGTCCAAGTATGCACCCCTGCAAGGACTCGCAAAGACCAAGCGGCCGGGTCTCAAGACGCTCGCCAAGCTCGTGCTGGGAATCGACATTCAGAGCGGAGAGCACAGCTCGGTGCGTCTTTGCGCTTCCCCTTGCTTCTGAGATTGCCCTGACGTCGCCGCTATCGTAGGTCATCGACGCCCGCGCGACGATGGCGATCTACCGCTCGCAAAAACCGGCGTGGGAAGATGCGCTCCTCAAGCACTCGACACCCTCGCTCCTCACGACCACGACCCTCGCACTTCAGTCCCTCGACTTGTCGAACATCAGCCTCACCGGCGTCGGCAAGAAGAAGCAGCAGCACCTCGGACTTGCGGCGACGCTGCGGCATGTGCAGAACATGCGGCTCGAGGAGGAGGCAGCGGGCGAGGAAGATGGAGAGGACATGGAGGAGACAGCGCGTGTGGAGGCGGAGAAGCGCAAGAAGCGGAGGACCGAGGAGGGAGACGATCTCCTCCTTGGGTTCGACTTTGCCTCGACGACCACAACGTCAACGGCTGTCGTCTCCACCGCACCTGCGGCTACGACGAATGGTCACGGTACGAAGACGGCGAAGAAGAACAAGCGCAAGCCGCGGACGAAGGGTGCAGGAAGCGCGAAAGGAGGAGGAGGAGCGCAGTTGGACCTCGCGCGGCGGCCTGCGAGCAAGGCTGGGTGGTGGGAGGAAGACTGAGTGCAGTGTTGGACTGTCCTTGTTGTTATACTACTCCTTTGCAGCCTTACGGTCCTTGTCGACCCGTTCACTTCTCGCCTTCGCTCTCTTGCTCTCCTGCGCTTCACTCCTCCCAAGGTAAATCTTCGCCCTCGGCTCGCGCGCTCGACAGGTGCGCCCAGAGACAGCGCACAGGATGCCCTACCGAAACCAGGTCCCATCCAGCTCAACCGACACGCTCCTCGCTCGCCCAGCTCGTCCACCATCCTCGCTCGTCGTTGGCCGTCCCTCGCGCGATGGTCTCGCGGCGGGAGTGTGTGGGTGGGCTGGACAGCAGGGACACGAACTCGTCTGCGTTGAGCATGCCGACTGTACACTTGATCTGATGCGCGCGCACGAGCACTTCACTCGACCTCGTTGGACCTCGTCGCTGACCAACTTTTCCCTTCCCTCTCGCTCGACAGATTGCTCGGATCCAGCTCGTCCTACCCTCAAGAGATTTTCTTCGACTCGCTCGACCACGCCGACCGCATCTCTCGCACCCGCTCGACGCGTCCGCTCCGTGAGTCTCCCTTCTCGCTCGCTCGCTCTCCTTCTACCGGCCGCCTAGCCCCGCACAAGCCAGCAGCGCAAGAGAGAAGGGACATGACTGCAAACAATCTAATTTTTTCCCTGAGCCGGGCTCGCCTGGCCTTGCTGAACAACCTATGTCTTCAACCCAAGGATCCCATCCCTCTTTGCGCGCGCTGCGCTGGTGTGTGGCCGAGGTGGCTGGGGCGGTCGGAGGCGGCGGCGCGGCAGAAACACGGCGAAGGTCGCGCTTCGCTGAGCACCGCGCTGACCCTTCGATCCTCCCGCAGATTCCGCTGCTGCTTCCTCCCGCCCAACCCACTTTATCTGACTCTCCGTGAGTCTCCCCTCCCTTCCGACCTCGGCGCAGACGGTCAGGATGGGCTGCGCTCGCAGCACAATGCATGTGTCCGAAGTTCAGGACCTCCGCCGGCTCTTTCGAGTCGGCGAGACGAGGTCGCTCAACCCGTGAGGCACACCGTACATCCGATACACATCAAGCTGAGCGCCGTACGGAGGACGAGGCGGCGCAGCAACACGTCATCAGCCTGCTCGCGGATCGCTGACCCTTTCCTTGCGCAGATCCTGCTCGTAATTCGGCGTCCAGCTTGCTGCTGATCTGCTTCACCCGGCGAATGCGAGCCTCTGCTGCTTCAGGTGAGCTCTCCTCCCCGTTCGATCGCTTGCGTCCCCTTCCTCCGTCGCCTCGCAAGTCGTCTCGCGGCAAAAGATGATACAGCGTACCACATCTTTCAAGATACACTCCTACAACTTGCTGAGGATATCAACGTTCATATCTCAAGTTTCAGCCTTATTTGATGCCGTGACGAGACCTTGCGATGGACGGCTGAGGACGACCAGCAGTGCATGCCCTCGAGCGATCATGAGCTGACTCTCCCGCTCGTCTCCTCGCACAGATTGTTCGCCGCTGCTTTCCTGACTGCTCGATGCCGACTTGCTGCTAACTTACGTCTTGCCGACTTCTCCGTCTTGCTTGGCTCGGAGTGAGTCGCCTTTCCTTCCCTCCCCTCCCTCGCTTCCACCACGCCGGCCGAGACGAAACAATCTACACATATCACTATCTCAGCAATCCTACAACTTGCAGAGGAAACACCTTGTCCTAGCCAGGACATTGTCCGAGCCGGATCGTGCCAGCAACAGCTTCCATTCGCACACGAGGACGAGTACTGACTGCCCTTGCGCCGTCGATAGTCGTCCTGCTACTGCTCATTCCGCCGCTTCTCGACGATGCTCGGCGCTGGCCTGACTTGTGAGTTGTCCTTCTTTCCCCTCCTCCCCCTCCCCTTCCCTCGAACCGCACGCGATGAAAATGCATCCCGACGGGCGGACTATACTCGCGATGCGAGCCGGCTTCACTGTCAAACGGGCGGACGTACAAACCACCCGGGCTTGCGTCGGTGCAGAGACCCAAAGTGCTTCAGGACTTCTGATGCGGTTCACGACCTTCGCCACACGCTCTTTGGAGACACGCAACGTCGAGCAGGCGGCTGAATACGCAGTGCTGACCTCGTTGTTGCGCACCGCAGAATCCGACTACTGCTCTCCGGCTTCACCCAAGCCGTCTCTGTCCTCGCTCGCGTCTCTCGCTTCCGTATGGACTGCAATGTCAACTGCAGCTGTCACCGCTTTCGAGCGTCCTGTCAGGCGAAGGGAGAGCGGCGCCTCCGTCCAGCACGACGCACGTCTTAGTCGTCCCCTCCGGGTCGCGAGAACGTTCTTCCATTCCTCCCGACTCGCATCCGGTGCTGCAAATAGCACACGCCGTGCTCCCGCTTGGCCTGGGGACCGTAACAGCGAGCGGAAAGGCAACCCACCACCAACGAGCGCGCCTCGAGCGGGAGCCGTCCTCCTCCCTCTTCCCTCCCGCTCTCTCTCCCACTCGCACTCGCGCGATGGCGCATGCTGGCTGCCGCACGACGGGACACGACTGTACGGGCCGCGGCAGCCGCAACCCCCACGGCCCGACTGCCCGTTCGGGCCTCACTCGACCACCGGTCACCCCGGTTAAGGCCAACGGAGCTTCTCTTCGTCCCAGCCGGACGGTGTGGAGGATGCCACTGCGAGATTAGAGCGGGGCAGCGTGATCGACAGCTTGGGGGATAGACGCGGGCCTCCTCGAGGACGACCTCTCTTCTTGCTCTTCCATCCTTCGCTCGAGGCTCCTTCTTTGGCTCGTCGACGATGAAGTCGAACGTCGCAGCTCTCGTTCCGCTCGCTTTGGCGGGCACAGCCCTCGGCGCCGCCGTCCCGTCTGGCAAGACCTCCTGCCAGGACTTGTGGACGGAGGCTCCGAAGCACTTGCCTTCGCTCGAGGTGTACTACGCCGATGACGTCGCTGCGGGCACCAACTTTACGACGCCGTACGCTACGCCCGCTTACCCGCAGGCCGTCCCCGAAGTTCCCGCTTTCTGTCGCTTCGGAGCGTACATCCACACCTCCAACTCGTCCAAGGTGCGCTGCGCCTCTCTTCTCTCCTTACGGGGCCGCTCAATCTGACACGCATCTCGCAACGTCGTCCCGCAGGTCCAGTTCGAGGTCTGGCTCCCGACGGCGGCCCAATGGTCGGGTCGCTTCGCCATGGTCGGCAACGGCGTGCGTTCCCGCTGTCCTTCTACCCCTCTCGTTTCCTCGACTGACACTTCGCGCGCACAGGGTGACGCTGGAGGCGTGAACGTGAGTCTCGCCAGACGACGAGTTTACACGGCGACGTACTGACCAAAAAACCCTCTTTGCCCTTCCTCGACGTCTTCGTCGTCAGTTCCCCGACATGTGGGCTCCTATCGCCAAGTGTGCGTGTCCAATCGCCCCTTCAAGCCGCGTAGATGCCGACTGACGGTTCTCCCTTCACAATTTCCCTGGTCGTCGTGCCCAACTTTCCGCGTCCCACGTCCCGCGTCCCGCCGTCCTTCGCTTTCATCATTGACAGACGGCTTTGCTGTCGCCTCGACCGACACGGGACACAACGGTACATCGGGAGACGGCACCTTCGCGCTCAACGGTCCCGAAACCCAGATCGACTTTGGCTACCGCGCCGTCCACCTCACGACCGTCTACTCGAAGGAGATCCTCAAGCTCTACTATGGCAAGAAGCAGAAGACGTCGTACTGGGTGCGTTAGCCAGTCCTGACTGTCGCAGCGAGCGCAAGCTGACTCGCGGAATCGCTCGTTCAGCTCGGCTGCTCGAGCGGAGGCAAGCAGGGCCTCAAGGAGGTTCAGATGTTCCCCGACGACTACGACGGCGTCATTGCCGGAGCCGCCGCTCAGTGGTGGCAGCACCTCAACGCGCAGACGTACCGCATTAACGCCCTTGTCAACCCAACGACGTCGCCCAACCACCTCAACGCTTCCGACTACACCGTCATCGGCGCCGAGGTCTACAAGCAGTGCGACGAGCTCGACGGCGTCAAGGACGGCGTCATCCGCAACCCGCGCAAGTGCAAGCCCGACCTCTCGCCGCTCCTTTGCTCGGCTGCCGGCGCGAACCAGTCGACCTGCCTCACGCAGGGCAAGATCGACACGATGCACGCGATTTGGGCCAACTGGACCGCTACGACTCGCGACGAGTTTCTCTTCTACGGCTTCGAGCCTGGAGCAGAGGCGGCCGGCAAGGTCTTCTCGGTTAACGGCATGCCCTACGGTCCTGGTGCGTTCCTTCTCTTCGCCTTGAATGGCTTCATAGCACTGGGCTGACCCTTTGTCGTCGTAGGACCCGACTACTTCCGTTACCAAGTCCTGAATGAGACGACCGTCGGTACCTTCACCGCCAACGAGACGGAGCTCGAGCGCCTGCTCGCTATCGCCGATGAAACCGATCCAGGCCAAACCAACGCATGGAACCCCAATATTCAGAAGTTCCTGAAGAAGGGCAAGCTCCTCACCTACGTCGGACTCGGTGCGTAGACTCTCCTGGGCTCTAGCAGACGCTCTTGCGGCTCGACTCGCTCTTCGCCCGCCGGGCTGACCCTCCCTACCCGCAGCCGACACGCTCATCCCGACCGGCTCGACCATCGGCTACTACGAGCGCGTCCGCTCCGCCCTCGGCCAGCCCAAGAACTTCAACGACGCGTACAGGCTCTTCACCGGTACGTTCCGAGCCTTCCCTCGCTTCGTTGGCTCGCTGCTCACGCTCGTCTCGTTCGCAGTTCCCGGCATGTGGCACTGCAGGGGCGGTCCTGGTGCCTACAACTTTGGCGGGGTGCGTCCCTCCGAGCGTTTCCTCCTTTTGAAGCAAGGCTGACTCGCCCTCCTCGCTACAGCCCGGTCAGCGCCAGCTCAGCCTTGGCGGCGGCGGACAAGGCTCCTCCTTCGACTCGCAGCACGACATGGTCCTCGCCATGATTGACTGGGTCGAGAAGGGCAAGGCGCCCGAGACGATCATCGCGACGAGCTACGTCGGCGCCGACAAGCGCAACGGGACTGCGTTCGAGCGCCCGCTTTGCACGTACCCCAAGGAAGCGGTCTATATCGGCGGAGACCAGAACAAGGCGTCGAGCTTCGAGTGCAAATATGTCGGCTAGGCGCGCATGTTCGCCCTCTCTTCGCCTTTCATCCCGTCCTCCCCCTTCTCTCCCGGATCGTATTTATGCGGGCACTCGCAGCCTCGCTGAAAGTTGTGCCGTCTCGCAAGTCTGTGTAGGTATCAAGGTTCTCGGCGCTGCAAAAAAGGCGTTCCGACCAGTTCGTCCGCGCGCCTCCTTGGTCGTGCTCTCGCCATGCGCTCACAGCGCTCGTGCTCTCGAGGTCTTCGACGAGAGAAGCAGAAAGGCGAGCGAAACTCTTCGCTCGCCACCCTCCGCGCCTTCGCCCTCCCCTCCTTCTTTCCGTTACCTCCTCGCCAATCTCGCTGCACACCCACACGCATGAAGTGCCTACGTCCGACCACGCCCAGCGAAAGCCGCCGAGAACGCATCCTCGACTCGAAGTTGGGAAGGCCCAACTCGCTTTCGCCGTCTCTCGTCGCTGAGGACTACTCCACCAGCTTCAAGAAGCTCGTAGCGCTCGCAATGAACCGCCCTAGCTGTGGTGAAGCGGTGAAGGACGTCGCAGCCTTGGAAGCGGGTCTCTTCCTCCTCGCTTCCACCTTCGAATCAACCCGCCGCCCCAACGCCATCCGAACCGCTCTCGGACGCCTAAGTCGCCGCACGTGCGCACCCTCGCTTGACTGTCCGAAGCAGCGAGTAATTAAGCGAAAGGAGCGAAAACGAAGCGGGACAAGCTCAGTCTGGGCGAGAGACGAGTACTGTAACGTAGGGTGGCAGCTTACGATGGAGAGACAGAGTCGCGAGGCTGGCTGGCTGAGAAGAGCGGGAGTGGGAGCGGAAGCGGGAGCAGGACTTGAAGGCGCGAGGAGAAGGTGAGCGTCCGCCTTTGAGCCGGGAGACGCGGACAAGTCCGGCGTCTGCGAGCGCTCGTGGTCCGCCCGCTCGTGCGTAATATGTCACCATCCAGCCATAGACGTCGTCGAGCCTCCTCGAGCGGATCTTCGCTCCGGAACCCCCCTCCTCGCTTCCTCGCTTCTTCCTCCGAATCCACCCACCCTCCCTCCGCCCAGCACGCCAATTCCCACCTCAAAAAGCCCACGAGCATCCCTCGCACAAATAACTTAAGTCCGAAGCAACGAAGCGAAACAAGCGAGGAAGCGAGGAAGGCGAGTATAGGCGCTAAGGTGTGAGACGAGGGTGGGCGGCGTGCGAGGCTAGGCGATCCCGCGCGTGCGTGTGCGCGGACTAGAACGTGCGTGCGGTGCAGCAGTACAGTCGGAAAGCAAGTACAGTAAGTGAAGAGAAAGGAGGACCAGTTCTGCGCCCTCCACACCGCTTCTCATCCCGCGTCCGGCGGTCCCTCAAGAGCCCTTTGTCGAGCGAGACCATCCTTTGATGCGACCCCCACGCGAGGAGGGCGGGCGGGAGGATGTAGGACACGAGCGAGCGGGTGGGTGGTGGCCGTGGACGAACGAAGCGAGGGCGAGACTCTCCCGCGCGTGCTGGGACGCTAAGCCATTAGTCTGTAAGTGCCAGCGGCGAGGGAAGCGAGGCAGCAAGTATCCGCAGAGCTAGAGGATGCGAGCAACACTCCATCCGCGCATGGAAGCGAAAGGCAGACAGCGGGGTCAGGAGGGTCGGAGGGGGGAGGTTCTCGAAACCCACGACAACCCTGCGACCCTGCGAGTGCGAGTGCGGATAATTGTTTTCTGTGATCGAGCGAAGGATGCGGGGGAGGAGGAAGGAGGAGAAGAATCGAAGCCGTGTGTGTTTGTGTTGGAGGAGCGGAGGCGGAGGCGGAGGAGGTCCGTTCGGCGCTTGGTTGAGACGGTGTTGGGGGAAAAGCTGGAAGCGAGGGTGGAAAGAAGGCGGCGGGAACGCCCAGACCAGTCCCCTTCGACGCTTGCGACAGACCGACGCGGCGAATGAACGGAGAGAACGCCTGCTCGCCGTGCGGTCGTCGCTGCGAAAAGGCCAGCCCAAGCTTGTTCGGGTCCAAGAGAACTTTCTGTTCGGAGAGCGAAGCTGGGCGAGGAAGGAAAGTCGTCTCCGCCGCTCCGCTGTTCCACAACTCCGCGCTGGCCAGGAATGGCGGCCCCAGGTCTTCTATAGGCGAAGGAGGTGTTTCGCCCGCTGCTGCTGGACCTCGAAAAGGAGCGCGTGGCTGCCGAGACGAGCGAGAAGAGCAGGGAGCGGGAGGTGGGAGGAGCGGAGCTAGTCGCCGCCCGAAGAAGCGAGCGAGTCTGGCCAGACTACTTTGGCGGGTGCCGCTGATGAAAGCGAGAACTGGAGAGCGCGAGCTGTCGACGTCTGTGCGAGCGACGTCGGAGGCGCTTACGGCGGAGCGCGGCGAGCTTGCGCTGGTGCTGGTGTTGTGTGGCTCGCTTCGGTTGTGTGGTGGCCGAGCCTCGCGCAATCTCCTGTCCATCCGAGCTAAGGAAGGAGGCGCGCGCGAGAGGAGTTCCATTGCGCCGGAGAGTCCGGTGAGAGAGGAGTTCTGTCTACGCGGAGAGAGAGGAGTCGAAGGGGAGTGTGCGCTGTCGACGAGGCTGTTCTTGGGACGAGGAAGCGCGGGCCGTGGATCAGCGGGGCCACAATGCGTGTGCGGAACTTGCGAGTGTGCGAAAAGGGACGCGCGGGCTGGCGGGCGAGTCGGCGAGTTGCGCGGGTGTGGGTTCGCTCGGGCAGCTCATACAAAGTCATCTCGGGCCCGACCTCGTCGTCCTCTCTTTGACCGTACTGCTGCTGCTCTCTGACTGCCACTGCACACTCGAGCACCGCAACCCACTGCGACACAACCCAGCCGGGCGACTCAAACCCGCCGCCGCGACCCCGTCCCCAACTCGTCCGCCCCTCTTTGTCCGGACCAACCGCCTCACCTCGCCTCGCCCTCATGCCGTCAGATCGCTACTACGGATACGAGGGTGCGTACTCTTCTCCACCCACTTACCCACCAACACGGCGCTGACGAAGCCTCGCTCCCATTGCCGCGCGTCCGATGGTCGTGAAAACAGACCTCGCCCTCCTGTGCGAGCATGTCATCTCGTCCCTCTTCAGCGTCGCGCACCACCAGCAGCCCCCCGCGCCTGCACCTGCACCCTCCAAGATCCCCAAGGAGCAGGCAGCACCCAACCTCGGCGAGTTCATCGTGCGTCCCCGCCCTCCTTTTCTTCTGTGGGACCGAAGCTCGGCTCAAGAGGTGGAGCGGCCCACTGGGCATCGAACGCGCCGTACTGACTCCGGTTAACGCATACCAGGCCTACGCACTGTACCGCACCCGCCTGCCGACCTCGATCACGCACCAGGCGCTCCTCCTCCTCAGCCGACTCAAGCAGCGCTACCCTTCGGCTCGCGGCACCTCGACCTCGCCCCACCGCCTCTTCCTCTCGAGCTTGATGCTCAGCAGCAAGATCTCGATGGACGACACCTACTCGAACAAGAGCTGGCAGATTGTCGGTCAGGGTCTGTTTGAGCTCCGCGAGGTCAACCAGATGGAGCGCGAGCTCTTTGCTTTCCTTGGGTGCGTCTCCGGTCCGCTTTCAACGCCTCGTCGAGCACACAGGCTGACAGTCGTACGCTCGTCGCGCAGCTGGAACGTGGTTGTCAGGTCCGAGGAGTTGGACGACTGGGTGCAGGAGGTCGTCGCGCCGTACGAGGCCGAGAAGGAGCTCGCTCTCTCGCTCGCCAAGGCCGCGCAGCAGCAACAATCACGACGAACGATGGAGGACCGCAAGCGCCGGCGCGACTTGGACTTGCAGATCCCCACCCCTTCCTCGTCGACTTCGCGCTCGCCCTCGCCCAACACGCTCCGCCACCGTCGCGCGTCCGATGCTGCGATCGCCCTCCTCCGCGGCAACCCCGCCGCCATGACCTCTGCCTCGTCTTCCTCCTCGTCGTCGATCTACGACGCCACCTCTTCGCCCGCCTCGTCCTCGCGCTCGTCCCGACGAAGAAGCCGCGCCGAATACCGCACCGCATCGCCCTACTCTCGCTCGTCCTCCCGCGCACCATCAACAGTCTGTTCCTCCTACGCCACCTCTCCAGCGCTGAGTCACGGCGGACACGGGATCAACACGCCCGTCTCGCCGTGCACGCCTGCTGGTCCGCTCACGCCCGAACAGCAGCCCGCCAAGTCGATCATGTGGCCCCCGCAGCAGACGAGCGCAGAGACGGTCGCGAAACTGGCGGCGTATGCGGCGCTCAATGCCCGACCGGGGGGCGAACCGACCGTCGTCGACTCGACGTCGGGCGTCGTCGCGCCGGACGCTATCGAGGCTGTCCCGCCTTCCGCACCCGTGTGGTGATCCCTACCCTCGACTCTTCGCTTCTCATCTCGTTATTACCGGCTCGCACATCTTCATACAACTTTCGCAACTTTCGCTCGCAACACCTCTTTCGCAACCCTTTCGACGCCCTCGCATCCCTTCGCATCCAAGGATACCCCCCTTCTTTCGCCCTCGTCTCCCTCGTTCCTATTGTTCAGGTTGTGCGCTACCCCCGTCCTCGTTTCTTCCGTCGGTGTCGTACAGATAGCTCCTCCCTCCTCTCCACTCTTTCGTCGAGTCTTTCGGAATAGAGTCCCATTCTCGCACAACACTTCTCTTCTCAGATGCCAGTTCGCTACTTTTCAGTGACTTCTCCTCAGCGAGAGAAGGATGGGTCCAAGCGTTCGGCAAAGGGAGGTGGAGGGCGGAGTGCGGGATGGGGCTTGCCACGCTTCGCTTTCGAACACGCTCAAGATTCCTCCGTCTCCGCACGATCAACGAGATCTGCTTCTCCGCAAGAAGCGATGCGGGGAGCGGGGCAACTCGCATGGCTCGCGAGTCGCGACGACTTTTGGGGAGCCTTCGCAAGCAGGCGGCGGCGACGTCCATGCAACCCAACGCAACGCAAGGCAAGGCAAGGCCGCAGCGGAATGGAAGAAGCGTCGGCGTCGGCGACCACGTACGAGATCGACGCCGGAACTTCGATTCGTTCCCAATTCGCTCGCTCGGGAACTTCTCTCGCTCTCTCGTTCGTCGCCGGCTGTCGTTTCTGTGCGCGTCACTGCCCACTCTCGCTTGCAATGAAGATCTCCGCGTTCTACCCCTGCCGGCGGCAACTGGAAGAGAGCGGCGCCGCGACTGATTATCCCTCCCGTGCTGGTGACCCTGCGAAGGTCGTCGAGCGGCGAAAGGAGCAGCAGTCAGGCGCATCGCATCGAGCGAGTCGTCTCTGGGAACCAACCATACGTCGAGAGAGAGAGCGTCGGATCGCATCGCGGGTTGACGCGACGAGTCCGTACCCCTTAGCCGTAGCGTCGCAAGTCGCAAGTCGTTGTCGAGCGAAGGGGCGGACTGGGGCGGAAGAACACGATCCGCTGGCTGGAGAGGAGGTGACGAAAGAAAGCTCTTTGCGAGGAGCCCGAAGCGCCGGAGGCACACGCACGCAGGAACTTGTCTGACCGTCACGCGCGGGTTTCGTCCTGCACTTCATTTTGTGGAACTGCATTCGCACCGGGTGTAGGAACAAGCCAGCAGAGCAGCGGCCTAGGAAGAACCTTTGCCCCACCGAAGGGCGGGAAGAAGGTCACAGCGGATCGTCCTCGTCTTTCGCTGGATGGCGAGCAGTCGTCCGTCTGTCCCATTTCCTCACGCAGCCCGTTCGGCGCAGATAGCTACATCTGGCGTAGCGCGAAGGCTCAAGACGGTGCGGTGGCGTCCGCTCCCTGCTGCTGGTTGATCCGCCGCCAGACTTCGGCGCCGAGTGCGAGGAAGGCCTCTCGCGCCTTGCTGCCGCCGCTGCCCTCTGCACCAGGAAGCATGACAACCGGCGACCCTTCATCGCCGCGAGCCGATACCGCTGGCTCGATAGGGATTTGGGCGAGCACGTCGAGCGAGAGGGCGGAGCAAGTCGACATGAACGAGTCTGGCCGCCCAAAGACGTAGTGAGGTGTCGACGAGCCGGGACAGAGGAAATGCGACATGTTGAGGACCGCGCCGGTGATCTGAACGTGCGAGCGAGCGAGGTCAGGTCGATTTTCGTGGAGGAGCACTCGAGCGGACACACGGGGATGCCCAGCTTGCGGAACATGGCGACGCCTTTGCGGGTGTCGATGATGGCGACGTTCTGAGGCGTCGAGACGATCACGGAGCCTGTAGCGAGAGGCAGACTTCGTCAGCGAGGGCATCTCCTTGCGAAGGTCGAGGACGGGATGAAGCGAGACCCGAGAGAAGCGCACCGTCAACCGTCACCAGCTGTCCAAGACTCAATGTCACGTCTCCTGTGCCGGGCGGCGTGTCGACGACAAGCACGTCGAGGTCGCTCCCGCCCGTTCCCGCCCGCCAGTCGACGTCGAACAGCAACTGCTGGACCGCCTTCATCACCATCATGCCTCGCCAGACGACGGGAGTATCTGCAGGCGTCTTGGTCGGGTCGGAAGGATCGGGCGGGTTGTTCGGGAGGAGGAATCCCATGGACATGCAGGGTAGGCCGTGTGCACGAAGAGGCGTGAGGCGGTTCTCTGCAGAGGCGTCACACGATCAGTAACGCTGAGTTGGTTTGCGACGTCTCGATACGCACCTGCCGTCAAGAACGGTTCGCCAGCACCCTCAAGACCCATCAATTTCGGGATGGAGGGTCCGAAGATATCAAGGTCGAGTACGCCGACGCGTGGTCGCCCGCCTCCTGTTACATCTGGTGGTAGTGAGGATAGCGCCAGAGCGAGATTGACTGCAAAGAGCAAGCGAGATCAGCGAAAAGTATCCCCGAAGACTCGACGTTGGCTCGAGGCTCTCTGCCAACACTGGAGTTCTCAGGCGCACCTGCTACGCTGCTCTTGCCTACTCCGCCCTTCCCACTCGAGACAACCACGACCTTCTTGACGCCCGGCAGCTTCCGCTTCTGCGGCAGACCTCGCTGCATCCGAGGCATGGTTGGCGGGGCGTCATTGCGCGGCAGGCCCTGCAAGGAGCGGTCCAGGGTCAGCAAGCCGTCGAGAGAATGACAGAGGGAAGTCTGAGACGCACGAGCGGGTTGTCGTGGCTCTGCGCAGTCGATGTCGAGGAGAATGAGCGAGCGACTGATGAAGCAGCAAAGCTAGGCGAGGGCGCTCGCCGGCAGGTGCAGGCGGGCAGACTCGGAGTGCTAGAGCTGGTCCAGGGCCGCGCGAGTCCAGCTAGCCGAGCGCGAGCCATCTGAGCGACGTAGAGCAGCGGAACAGACGATGCAGCCTCTCGAAGTCGTTGCGATGAATGGATAACCTCGGTCTTTGTTCATTGCACGCGACTCTATGGACACCTTGAAAGATGATAGTGCGGGCTCAGACGTACGCGACGCCCGCGATCGCGCTGAGGAGCATAGCGTCCACCGGTTCCTTCTCGAGCCGCTTGGAGAACTCCTCGAAGAAGCGCATGCCCAGCCTCGTCTGCCTCGCGACCTGCCGCTGCGCATCCTCGTGCACGTCATCACTCTGCACGCTCGCAGGGTACATGCCGTGGATGTCGAGACCGGAGTAGTCGATGCGGAGGGAAGCGAGCGACTTGTCCTCGGCCGAGGCGTCCGCACGCTGGCCCTTGGCGCGCTGGTCTTCGCGGATGGCGGCGGCGAACTGCTCGGGCGTGAGCTGGAGAGTGAGCGAGAGGGTGAAGCGGTTGACGCCGTACGAGGCGACGGATTTGACGTGATGCCGGATCACGCCGCGCTGAGGCGGCTCGGGCAAGTCTGCACGAACGTTAAGTGAGTAGGCATCAGAGAGGGCGAGCAGGCGGACGCACCCCAAGCAATCACGTCGCCGTCGAAGCTAAGGACCGGCCAGATGATGGCGGGGTGGTCGAGGACGACGTCAATGCTCCTCGTCTGCTTGATCGCGTTGAGGGAATTGCGGGTTACGGAGACCTTGAATGTGTCAAGATAAGGCGAAGTGTATGTCGATTCGACGGGAGGGAGCGGAACCTTGTACGTCGTGAGGAACTGCAGGACAAGCGAGGTCAGCGGGGGTCGTCGCGGCAGTCTGCGAACTGGCGGCTCACTTGCGAGACGGGGTAGCTGCACAAATAAGGTAGGTCAGCTTCAATGAGCGAGCGAGATGAGCAGCGGTGGACGAACATGATATCCCAGTCGACGCTCAAGTCATCTGCAATAGTCGCTTCGGGAACCGAGTTAGGCGCTGTCAAGCCCTCGGTAGCCTTGCTGACAAGCTGGAAGAACGGGTTGCCATCGACGCTGGCGACGTGAAGGTGGAACTCGGGCGGCGAGGTCGTCGTGTTCTCCATGTGAAGGATGAGCAACCGCTTCGGGTGCTGAGCATCGTAGGCGGACCAGGAAGGGCGGGAGAACCAGCCGAGCGAGAAGGCGGTAGCGAAGGTGAAGAAGACGGCGAGACGGGCAGTGAAGGACGCGCCCCATCGGTGGCAGAAGGGGAGGAACTGTTGAGCGAGACTCGTCAGCTCGACCCTCCAACAGCGGAGGCGGTACTCGCCATCGGAACGGCCGCATAGCCGACTGCACCGACAAGCGTTGCGATGATGAAGTCAACGGGGGCGTCGGCGCCGAGACGGCCGGTGAGCGGGACGAAGAGGTCAAGGAAGCCAATGATGCCTTCGACGCCGATCAGGAGCGGGAGGGACTGCGGATTGGACTCAGTCAGCGAGAAACTCCGGACTTGAACAAGCTTGCGCACCTGGCCGATAACGTAGGTCGCGAGATGAAGACCCGTGGAGTGACGGCGGAGGACGTAATCATTGATGACGAGGGCAAGCAAGCTCGACGCCGCGCCGAGAGCGATGAGGTAGCTCGATCCGACACCGAGCGCGTGACCGATGAGGGTGACAGCCGTGTTGTAGACGACCTGGCTGACGAGTGAGGCGTGCTCGATGAGAGCCGAGTCGGCAGCGTCCTGCGCGACCGTGGCGATAGGCTGGCGAATGCGATTCGAGACGAAGAAGTACTGGTAGAGAACGACGGCGAGGAGAGAGGGAGGGCCAAAGACGAGGAGCGGGTAGTTCTCGTTGCGGAACCTGCGAGGAGGGACCTGTCATTTCGACGAAAAGAGGGCGGCAATGTCGGCACTCACCAGGTCATCGACTTGCCCATGCCGAGGCTAAGAGCTGCCGCAACTAAGTTCGCGCCGACAATGGACGAGATGAGGCCGCCAAGCACGCCGACAACGCTGAGGATGTACACCTTCTTCTCCTTCGCCCAATCGACGCGGTCCGTGACGACAACGGCGACCAGCGCAGCGAGGATGCCGTACAGGATCGTAGCCGTAGCACGCGAGTAAACGACGAAGACCTTTCCTCCGAGAGCCGAGAAGAAGATTGTGTGCGAAGTCGGCGCGCGAGGAAGGACGGGCGTCGGCTGGGCCGAGTTGCCCATCGTCGTCTCGGGCGAAGTGAGGTATTCGAGCAGGGCGAGGACGTTGTCGCCCATGTGCTGGACCGAGCCAGGCTCGATTGCGTCGGCCGTGTCGAGCATGGTGTGGTAGCGGTAGCTGTTCTGCACGAGTGCCATGTCGAGCCCGGTGAGGTTGCCGCTGCAGGAAAGCCGGTCAGCGTTGTGATTGCTGGACCGGAGGAAGGAACTCACTACTGGACGAACTGCCGGAAGTCGGTGCTGTCGATAGGGACCTGGTCAGTTTGGGCGGCGAAGAGGTGGTTGAGACGGCCTACTCGGAGAGAATGAGACCGGTCTGGAAGATCTCGCTCGCGATGATAGTCGCGTACGGACTGGGCGTCCTTGCCAGCGCCTGGATCATCTCGGGCGAGGTCGCCTGGAAGACAATCTCCTTGCCGTCGGTACCGCACGCTTCAAGGTTGATGACAGCGCGGACCGACGTTCTGAGGGGGTGCTGAGTGATGAAGACTGCGGCGAGACGGGTCAGGCGAGAGTTTCGAAAGGTGGAGGGCGGGACTTACGGTGCGAGGCGTCCTGCAGACTCTCCTCGGCGCCGTTGAAGACTGGAGGGGGAACGTCAGACGGGTTTGATCTGGTGACCGAGTGAAGGGACGCACGGAAAATGGCAGCGTTCGTCAGTTTCCTGTCGCCCAGAGCCATCACTCGCAAAGCCTCGAGCATGACAGCAACACCGACAAGGTCGTCTGCCGCGCCGGGACTAGGCAAAGTCGAGTCGGAGTGCGCATTGACGAGGACGGCGTTGGCCTTCGAAGCTGGAGTGCCGTCGGAAAGGCGGACAATCACGTTGGAGATGCCGAAATACTGCACGTCGAGGTCGGGTCAGCTCGTCTGCCTCCGCTCCGGCGAAGCTGCGCCTTACCTTCTTCCACACCTTCTTGTCCATGAAGTCGAAGAGCTGCGCAAGTAGAAGCGGGTAAGCGAGCGGAGCGATGGCCGAACAAACGTCGCGACGAGGCCTACGTGAGTTCCGTCACCAATCTACACGGTAGAGTGCATTCGTTAGCATTCCATCGGACTGCAGGATGGCAGCGAACGCACCTGGTGCCAGACCTCGACCTGCATTCCGCCGTTCGGGTGCCTCTGGACGACCTCCTCGCGGATCTCGGCAATCTTGTCGAGCAGGTAATTGTCCGTCTCGACCATCTCCTTCGTCCCGACGATCCTGTACCTCGGAGTCCCATCGCCATACGCCGCCAGGTCGTGTATATACCTCATCGCCTTGGACTCGCTGAACACGGGGGAGCCGTCCGGCGAGAAGAGCGCATGCTGCGGTTCGGGCAGGGCATAATGCAGGTGTACGGATATGTAGGTGAAGAGGGCGAGCAAGGGCAGGATCACGGCGAGCGAGGGAAGCAGGCTCCACTGCTTCGAGGGAGATGCCCGAGGTGGGGTCGAGGGAGCGGTCTTGACGGGCTTGACGGCGACGACGCCAGTCCCGTCGGCGTCGATGTCGTCTTTCGCCATCTCTGCGAGTTTAGCAGCAGCCCACGAGAGGGTGTGAGCGGGTCAGGAGAGAGGACAAGTTCAACGAGTCGGTTCGCCTCTCGCATCCGACTTCGAAGCCCTCAAGCATGCCAGTGAGTGCCGAAGGCGGCGTTCAATGACCTACTGCAACTGACGAGACCCGCTCCAGGTCAACAGCAACCCGCCGTGCCATGTCCGTCGACCTCTCGCTCGCTTCGCTGCGTCATGATCCGCTCAACCGCTCTCGTGGCTGACTTGGACGGGCTTGTATGTTCTGTGCTTGTCTGTACGACCTCCTTGCATCGCCTCAGCCTGAAGCGTGTCAGATCCAGTTCGTCCTCCTCCTTCGCTCTCTGCACTCGCAGAACTGACGACTTCCCCTTCTCTTCCGCCAGAAACTGCATGATCTCGAACGCCTACCAACAAGAAAAGTGCGACTCGGCCATCCGGAATCTCTACGAGTGTTGCGCGCAATTCTACGACAAGAAGGGCGACAAGGCAGAGCCGCCAGATGCTTGTCCGCTGCCTGAGATCCTGCAGCGGAAACTGAAGGACCTGGGGATGCGATAAGCGCAAGGGAAGTAGACGGTGCAACGACTCGTTCTCAAGGCAGACGGTTCCTTCGACCGGCGAGAGCTCCTCAGCTTCCGAGTCTCGCAGGCTCGTCGATCGAGGAAGAGAGGCAGGCAAACGGACGGTTGCTCGAGAGACAGAAGTGATGCTACGCAAGACGAGATAAGGAGGAGACAAAAAGCAACAGGAACGAAAAAAGGGAGAGAAAGAGAGGGTAAAGCTATACGAGAGGAGAAACGCTCGAGGAATGGGCAATGATGGGCACAAATGGATCGACTGATGATGGGTATGCAAGCAACAATGAGGTGGAAGGGAAGGAAGAGGAGAGAAAGTGGATATGAGGACATGAGGCGCGAAGGCGGGTGGGGGTATACATGGGTGGTATGGACAGAGGCGATAGAAACGATAAGAAGGAGAGTGGTGGTGTTCACCACACGGCGTGAGGAACACCCGTCCCAGGGCTCGGCCAGGACGAGCTCGTCGTCCTGCCACCGGCGCCGCGACGTCCAAAGTGGTCGCCCAGGTCGCCGTCGTACAAGTCGCCCCACGCCGGGCTGTCGGTCGTGGCAGTCGAGCGCTCCCAGCTCGCGCCGGTCGCGAGCGACGGCGAGAAGCCAAGCGGGACGCGACCCTTTGTGTTGCCGGGCGTCGACAAAGCCGCCTGCAGCCTCGCGCTCGGGCTGCGCAACTGGTACTTGGCCGAGCCGAAGATGGTCGCGCCGGTATTCGACGACGGCGGAGGCGAGCGGAACGGGTCAAAGTCCGAGTTGGCGAGCGCGTTGACTGAGGGGAGGAGACGGGTGCCGGTTGCGCGACCTGTCGACTTCTTCTCCGGGTCCGCCAGAGGTTCGAGCTTGTCCTGGACGGGCGACATCGGCGTGCGAGGACCGCCACGAACAGACGAGATCTGCAACGTAGACGCGGTCAGTAATGTGTCGCGGAAGAAGGAGACAGAACGCAGACGAACCGGACTCTGCGTGTGCACCAAGGCAGTCGGGGAAAGCATGCCGTGCAAGCTGCGATCGCCTTTCTCGCTGTCGGTCCGCTGCCTCTTCCGCGAGCTGCCGCCAGGGAAGATGTGCGGGGCGGGCAAGAACGGCGCCGACGACGGACCAGCTGTGGGCGAGCTCGACGTGGAGACAGAGAGCAGAGTCGCGGCGGTTCGCTCGCCCGATCGGCCGGCGATGATGCCAGGCGCTTCGGGAGAGGCGAGGAGTGCTAGCGCACGGTGGTTCTGCGCAGCCGAGTTGCCGTACGAGAGAGGCTGGTACGGGCCGGCGAGGCGGTGGTAGACCGATGTAGGCGGCGACATGGTGACCGAGAGGAGCGGCTCGTGGAGGTTCGAGTAGAGCGAGTGCGTCGACTGGAGGCGAGGAGGTGAGGCGGGAGGCGCAGAGAGGTCGCCAGGCGCCGAGCGCGAGGCGAGCATCGGTGCCGATGCAGTGCGCTC